TAGAATTTTTCATTTTAAAAAATTATTTCTTTAAAAATTGTTTATATAAACGTTGCGTACTTTAGCTACGTGTAAAGATTTGGTTAATTCAAAACTTGGTTTTTTCAAATAAAATTTATTATTCAATTGAACCAAAAATTTTAAATCGAACAAATTTCTTTTTTTGTGTTAATAAATTTTTTTTTCAAAAAATTCTTTTTGTCTTCAAATCGTGAAATGTAACACTTAAGCCTTTCGTATATAAGAAACAAGAGACAATTGAAGCCTCATTGCTCGATTATAAGCTCACTGTATGTGTGTATTTTTTAACTCGTGTCTAAGTGGCAATGTGCCCAAGGCGTCAGTAATTAATAAAGTATCCTTTTTCCTTCCGCTCCCCTCTATTTTGTAAGGTTCCCTTCAATTCTCTTCCCGTCTGGTAATTCTGAAGTTCACTCTCTTTTTTTCCCCTCTCGCTCTTTTTTTTTTTTTTTTTTTTTCTTTTTCCCCCGTCTGAATCTTCAACTCAGTCACAGACTCCGTGTTTCTCCCCTCAAACCAATGAGGAGGCGCTTTTATGAGAATTATTATTATTATTATTATTGTCAGTTTGTTTTGCCTTCTCTCTTTCTCTCTTTGCTTTTCTCCCCCTTTGACTCGAGGCTTCGGAACTTAAACGAGCCGCGGCTGACCTCACGTCCGGTCTCGACTGACGAGAATGGAATAAAACGGAACGAAGGGTTACTAAATAACAATAGTAAATTCGTACGCGCTGGTTCTTATTTCCGGTGCGTTCGTGTACCGAGTATAAACCATTGTTAACTATGCGACACTTGATTGCAGTGACTACTATATACTATTGCTGAATACGCTCGTGCGAAGGTAGCAATTTGTGATTTGTAATTATGTTCAATAATTCGTTTATGTGGTTTTTGCACTCGTACCGTGAAATTTGAATAAAATCATTTTCAATGCCCTTTTGTCAATCTCTGAAATTGTCATTCTAGTATTTCAAAAAAAAAAAAAAAAAAAAAAAATTCTCAATTTTTATTTTCTACAACTGATAATTCTATTTTTTATTTTTACTAATAATTAATAATTTTCCACGAAATGTATTATTATATATAATTATATAATATACACGAAAAAAAAACTTCATCTGGACCAGCGAAACGTTTAACTAGAATAGTGAAATATTTGGGACACATGATTATGTTTTAAAAATCATTAGTCATAATTTACATTTTATCGAATTTTATTTGTCCTAATTAGTTTTGAGCCGAATTTTAATTTGTTCTAAATAGCATTTGGCATAATTTTCATCAATCCGATTTTCTATATTGCAGAATTTTTATATAACCGAAAATTCACTCCACAGAATTTTTATTTCTTCGAATTTTTATTTGGCATAATTTTTATTTGCTCGAATTTTCATTTAACATAATAGGCATTTTAAAGAATTTTCATTGGGTAGAATTTCATTGAATTGAATTTTCATTCAGATGAATTTTCATTTGTTCGAATTATTATTTGATATAATTTCCATATAATCGATTTTTCATACTACAGAATTTTTACTTAACCGAGAAATCATTTTACATAGAATTTCTAATTGATAGAATTTTCATTTGTCCGAATTTTCAAATGGCCGAACAAACAATCGACAGAAAGATTTCGGCGCGATTTTTAAAATCAACCAATCAAAAATTATTCATAAAATTGTGATTGGTTGATTTTAAAAATCGCGCCAAAATCGATTGTTGCTTCGGTCATTTGAAAATTTCGGACAAATGAAAATTCTATCAATTATAAATTCTATTAAATGATTTGTTGGTTAAGTAAAAATTCTGTAGTATGAAAAATCGATTATATGGAAATTATATCAAATCAAAATTATATCAAAAAATCAAATTCATCTGAATGAAAATTCAATTCAATGAAATTCTACCCAATGAAAATTCTTTAAAATGCCTATTATGTTAAATGAAAATTCGAGCAAATAAAAATTCTGACAAATAAAAATTCGAAGAAATAAAAATTCTGTGGAGTGAATTTTCGGTTATATAAAAATTCTGCAATATAGAAAATCGAATTGATGAAAATTATGCCAAATGCTATTTTGAACAAATTAAAATTCGGCTCAAAAAAAATTAGGACAAATAAAATTCGATAAAATGTAAATTATGACTAATGATTTTTAGAACATAATCATGCGTCCCAAATATTTAACTAAAACAAAAATTAAAACTTAAAATTAATAAAAATTCTAGTGTAACATTTCACTGTTTTGGGTAATTTTTTTTTTCCGCGTTTATAATATAATATATTAATAAAATATTATAGAATCATATAAAATAAAATTCTATAGAAAAAAACAAAACAATTAGTTATTTTTGTAATTAATTTAGATTTAGTGAGAATAAATTAAAAATAAAGCTTGTTGTTTTTCGCATAAAAACTTCATCAGCACGTTTAATTGGACTTTTATCAAATGTATTGTTCACCAAAATTGACTTATTGCACCCGACGGTTTTATATTTACTTGGAAAACAAGAGTGAATAAATTATAAATCAACATTTCTCCCATGAGAAATGAATTTCCAAACAAATGCGGGATAAAAATTAAATGTTCCAGCTTTTATTATTTGTTTATAAAAAAAAAAAAAAAAAAAAAAAAATTGCTACGCGGTGTAAATGACACAATTATTATTTATGTAAATTTATAGCACATTTTGTGTGGTAATTCATGTCTATTGAATTACCATTTTTTTTATAGTGTGATAGAGGTTAAAATAGACAAAAAATATTGTGAGAATGTGTGGAAATTTTCACACGTATCTTGATGATGATAGCATTCAAATTGTGTATATTTTCCAAGAGAGAGAGAGAGAGAGAGAGAGAAAGAGTTAGTTATTCAAAGCCGATTATGTTGTACATTATGTAATATTCATGTGTAAACATTCCAATGTTATATATATATATGTGTGAATTGTCTCTTATGTTCTATTCATGATAGCAGTTCCGTTATTTACATTATTTAAGATGATCTTTGTATATATGATTTAAATATGGACAATAATGCATTTTTGAAAATTAAAAAGAATTATTCATAAAAAAAAATCTGACACTCATATTATTAAACAAAAAATACAAGAAAGGCTAAAAAAAATTTATTTGATTCAAATAATCCATTACTTGAAAAATAAATATATATAAAATAAATAAATATTTCATTGAACCAAATAATTTTTATCTAAGTCAATTGAATTTTATTTGCTTCGAGTACAGAAATTATTGGTTTAAATTTATTTGATACAAAATAAAAATTATTTAATGTAAATAAAAATTATTTGTTATAAATAAAAATTATTTGATACAAAGAAACATTTAATTGATAACAGTCAAGTAACCGATTATTATTTGAATCAAATAAATTTTTTTCAGTTATTTACGATTTTATGGTTCAAACGTTAAAACGATAAAAAATATTTTTCAGATTATAGAAAAGCAATTTAAATCCGAATTTTATTTGTATTTCCAAAAAGTCCACTCTTTGCAATTTAAAACTTTTCAATAAAAGCGAAAATAATTTTTTTTTTTTGAAACATTTTACTTCATTTTGCTTTCACTTTTATATATGTAAATTGTAATTTGTTTTTAAACTAGAAAGATTAATTAACCAAAACTAAATGTTTTAAATTTATATATATATATATATATATATGTATTTTACTGGAAAATTTCATTATAAATTTTCACGAGTTATAAAAAACTTTAACGAGTTTTCTTTTTCATTTTAAATCAGTTCTCCGCGGCATATTTATTAATCCTAGGTGCTTTTTTTTTTTATTTCAATTTTATAAAACATTTTTAATGAACCGTAAAGTTGATCTGAACATTTCTTATATTATTTAATATCTTGATACTTTTAAATTAATCTCAAGGCTTATCATTATTTTAACCTCCGCACACTTTGAATACAAAAATTATATAGAAAATTTATTATATAATAAAGTATAAAAATAATTCTAATTAAAATTATTTCCAAATAATCAATATCATAATTTAAATTATCTTCAAATATTTAATGCTAAAATAATAATTGAAAATATCTTTAATTATTCAATCGAATATAATTAAAATTTTATCCAATATTATTTAATTAAATAATTAAAATTAAGTTCAATTATTATTCAATCAAATAATTGAAACCATCTCTAAATATTTAATAAAAATTAAAAATATCTTAAAATATTTATTTGAACTAAATAAATAAATATTTTATTTGATAATATTTGAGGTAATCCGATTATTTGGAGGCGGTATCAAAACTACAACAAAATTTTTCAAAAAAAAAAAAATGTTAGATTGACACAATTATAAATATTAATTTTTCTTTTTAATTTATAATTAAAAATATAGTATATTAATTGATAAATTAATAGACTAAATTAATAATAAAAAAAGTTAACTTTAGTTATTTTAATTATTTATATTTATAATTTTTATTTAATTTCTTTTTTGCATTAACAAATTTTTGTTTGTTATTTTGAAAATTATTTTTTTTACTTTTATATTTTTTACATAAAACTTTTTTTTTCAATTTATTTATTATTACATAAAAAATATATTTTTTTAATTTGTTATTTTGTACATAAATTTTTTTTAACTTGTTATTTTGTATATACAAAATTTTTTAATATGTAAAAAAATATGTATAAAAAAAATTATGTAATAACTAACAAATTGAATAAAGAATTTTATATAGAAAATAAACGAGGGAAAGAAAAAAAATTTCCAATTTTCAAAACAAAGTACAAAAAAAATTTCAATTTAAAAAAAGTAATTGAATGTAAAAAATTACAATATTTGTTTTGTTCACTCTAACAATTTTGTTTTTAATTGTTGCGTTGATACCATCTCAATATTTAAATGAAATAAATTTTTTTTTCCAATTTATGTAAAATGACGATTTTTTAAAAATTAAAATTAATTTTTCAATTTTTTTTGTCTTTTTTCAGAAGAGATCATCACTCATGATCTAGTAAAGGCTTCTAAACCCACCCCCACCAGGATGTGGTGCATAGCTGTCACCGTAGTTTTACTGGCGTCTATCGCCAGTGCCAAGGTGGCTGTCCTGCCCCACGATGTCTACCCTGGATTTGAGGTGACACATTTTCAAAATGGCAAACACAATTCCAATTATCGATTATTGGAGACTGGCTTCTCTAAATATTTCACCGTTCTTGACAATGGAATTGTCATGACAACATCCGATTTAGGTCCATTGGTTAATCGACCAGTGAATCTTGTTGTTCTCGAGGAACTTGCAAATAAAACTGAAACACATGATCTACATCTTTATGTGATTAATCGAAGAAATATGCTCACATTTACACACGATCAATTAGGCGAGGGTGAAATACTTGAAAATTCACTGCCCGGAATGATGGTCGAGGGTTTTCCAATTTTAAGAGCACGTGGTAAATTTCCTGTACATTATACAATTTTACCCGAGGACGATGGTGATCGACCATTTGTATTAAGTGATATTATTACCAAAGAAATAGGATACAATCTAACATTGAGAAATCATAAACAAGGTGTACGTGTTATTTCAACAAAACCATTGGATCGTGAAAGAAAGAAATTTCATAAAATTGTTATTCACGCATCGGACAATGATTTTATAAGTTCATCAAAAATTAGTGGAATTGTTCAAGTACTCGATGAAAATGATAATAATCCTATTTTTGAAAATCCTATTTATACTTTTGAAATTTCGCCAATTAATTTAAAAACATTGTCAAAAGATATTGTACCACATTGGAAGAGATTTTCAACAATTGGAAAAGTTATTGCAACTGATGCCGATGGTGATAAATTGGCGTACAAATTGCTTACGCCAAATAATATGGTTATCATTGTACCACAAACTGGTGAATTACTATTGGCTGGTGAACCAGAAATTGCCGCTGATGAAGATGAAGAATGGCAGCTGTTGGTTGAAGCTCACGATCTTCGATTACCAAGTCGAATTTCAATGGCTCCTGCAAGAGTTATTGTAAGATTGTTGACATCAGCTCCAATTGAGCCTGAGGTCCACAAAATTCAAAAGAGGCGTGTCACAAGGGCTGTTAGACCAACCAAGAAAATTGAATTTACCGAAGCTGATGGTGATATTGAGGGAAAAATTGCTTTTTACCTCGAAAAAGAGACCGAAAGAGAGACATACAAAATTCGAGATGAAAATAAATGGGTCACTGTTGGATCAAATGGGTCCGTTCGAGTCAAACAAAAATGGGACTACGAGGAACTTGGTCCTGAGAAGACAATTGATTTTTGGGTTACCATTCACAATGCAGGTAATTTCTATTTATTTTTAAACGAGATTCGAATATTCTTCTTTTTGATTTTTTTTTTCGTTTTGCAATTAATATAAAAAAAAATTCCATTTTATCACCTAGCAATATTAATTAATAATTAATATTAATAAATTATTTAATATTTATTAAGAAAATAATTTAAGTATTATTATTTCATCAATATAAAAACAATAAAATGTTACTCACCATATCAATGAAGTGGACAATTTTCCAATATTTTGATTTTTCCACATTTTGAAAATTGATAGCGTTGAGGTAGACCAGGCTTTTGAAAATAATAATCCTCATCATCCAGAAAAAACCTAGAAAATTAATAGTAAAAATTAAAATCAAATAATAATTGTAAATTAAAAAATTATTTTTTTTTTGTAAATTTTAGGTTATAAAAAAATTTCTATTTTCAAATTCAAACATAATATTTTAATATATTCGTAATTTAGAATAATAAATCTTAAATTCATAATAATTATCATGCAAAAAAAAAACCTGAAAAATTAAAAACAGAAATTAAAATTATTATTTTGCAAATTTTAGGTTATAAAAAAATTTCTATTTTCAAATTCAAACATAATATTTTAATATATTCGTAATTTAGAATAATAAATCTTAAATTCATAATTTGAAAAAAAAACCTGAAAAATTAAAAACAGAAATTAGAAATTTTTATTTTGGAAATTTTAGGTTAGAAAAAAATTCACGTTTACAAAGCCAAACATATTTTTCATATATGTTTGTAAATTAGGACAGTAATTAATCATAAATTCATGATAATTTGCTGCATAAGGGAAAAATTGTACATTAAATATTATATACACAATAAAATAAAACAAAATGTTTACCTTAGTAATATGCAAAAGCAATATTGCATTAAAATTTTCACTTAATCACTGAATTTACAAATTTAGGTTAGGGTGCTGTTATAAATAAATAATCACTTTAAATTTACACTCAATTTTCTTGAAAATAATAAAGAAAAAATCAAGGGTGGAAAAAGAAAAACTTGAAATAACGATTAGAACGTGGCAAAGTCGGACGATGTTTGATTTGCAAATTATATAACTCAAAAGTCGACTCAAATTTATAAATATTACAATATAATTGAAAAAACTATTTTTTTTATATTAAAACTATTCACTGATCACGGGAATATTAATTAAAACATTAATTTACACTGCAAACACAAATAGTTTTGCTCGCCATTCGCGACATGACATTTTTAGGTTAGGGTGTCAAAAGCATGTCGACATTTTATAAATATTATAAAAAAAACGTATTTAACTGTTAATTTATTCGAAAAAACTCTTTTAAAAATCAATTAATTATAGAAAAAAACAACAAGCAAACAATGGATTACTTGATATAACACGTGAAACAATCGCGATTTTCCATTCTCTCAAATATTACACATTTCAATAGAAATAATGACGAATTTTATATTAAATTAATCATTATTATCTGTAATTCACAAAAACTTAACGATATTTGTAAAATAATTATATATTTAGAGCAAAAATAGTATAAAATCACTTGTAAATACACGACACAGTCCGACTTTTCGCCCGCTTAACCGGAAATGAGCATTCCTTGAGTTCTAATCACGTGTTACTGAACAAATTTCTCTCATTGGTTGCTCTAAACGAGCGGTAAAATTTTTCAAATTCAAATCAAAAATACACATTAAAATACATTTACAAGAATAAAATTGTTAAATAAATATTATATTTATAAAGTTAATTAATTAAATTTACTGAAATTAAATTAATCTATCTTTAAATTAATATATAATTTAATTATATGTTTGAAATTAAAAAAAATTTAAATAATTTTCGTAATGTAAGAAAACTTTTTTTTTTATTATTTCAAATGGAATCATATAAATTATGATAAATATAAAAAAATACAGGTCTAGCTACTTATGTTATTCAAAATATTTCCCTCTTGGTGTCGATAAAACAAGTCACGTAAAGTACTACACTTTAGATCATAAATTTTATTTTTACTTACGTTTATCGTAAAAAATAATTTTGCGAAAAAAAATATGAAAAATGAATTCATGATAAATTACACGAAATTCAGTAATAAAAATATTGTTAATAAATTCAATTATATTAAATAAATATATATATTAAATGAAAAAGAAAAAAAAATTGCAAAATCCAGTAAATTAAAATTAATATTACTTTATATATATATTATTTATATTAAAAATAAATATAATTTATTTATTATTTCTCTCCATGTACATTTCTTTGGATTTTTATATTATTAAAAATAAATATATTAAATGCAAAAAAAAAAAAAAAATTGCAAAATTCAGTATGGTAAAAATAAAATAATAATAAAAAAATAATTATATATGGATTTAATTTCATATTTATTATTATTTTTTTTTTATATATATAAAATGATGTAATTAAAATTGTAAAATTAAATTACAAATAAACATTGAGGGAAAAATTAATAACAGATTTTACGGGTATAAATAATAATTTCTTCGATTAATAAAAATTAATTAATAATCTAAAAATTTTATTTTAATTCAGAGACAAATTTTTTATTTATTATACTAAAATTATTAGAATCAAAATTAATTTAAAAAAATTATTTATCGGGCATTATTAATTATTTTATAATTTATATAATTAATTTGAAATTTGTTGCAAAAGGTCAAAAATATAAATAAGAAATTATTATTTTTAAATCGTTCTAAAATCAAGATATAAGAGGATTATTATTATTGATTGAAGTTTATTTTCCCTCATCTTTTTTTATTGAATGATTCAACATTGGTAACCCGCTGTTCTATTTATTCGAATGGTGTCCCGTGTCAATTTCACATTGCGGTATAAAGTTTGATTTAAGAATTAAAAAAAAAAAAAAATCTCTTTTCTTTGCCTCAAAGCCAATAATATTTTTTTTTCTCCCTTTATAATATAGGTGGTCTTTTTTCTTTTTTTTTTTTTTATAAATGCACACACGCGTCACATTTCTTTTTCTAGATCTCTCTTTTCATTTCTTTAAAAATTGTCATTCACTATTATATATAAAGCCGTTTGTTAGTATATATATATATATATATATATATACCAAAAGGTATTCTTATACATTATTTATCAGTGCTAAAAAAAAAGTAGAATATTCATTGGAAACAATTTTGCCAAATCTACACCCCCAAAGCACCTTTATATAGCAAACAATAACTAATATTGATTTTTTTCTGCTTTTTTCCATTCTTGGATTTCAAAGGACTACAGTGTGAGTAATAAAAAGAAATGTTTTTTCTTCATAAATATATATATATATATTTTTCTGAAAACAATTTTTTAGAAAAAAATTGTTTTTCCTCAAAAAGTGATTTAAAAAAATTAATTAATTTCTATCCAAGAGAAATTTTTTATTTGCAAATAAAATTTATTTATGTCAAATAAAAATATATTTGTCTCAGAGCCTAATAACATTAATATTTATTTTCATTTATTATTTAAATAAAAAAAAATTTTGGAACAAATAAAAAATTATTTAGCACAAATAAATCATTATTTGGCGCAAATAAAAAATTATTTAGCACAAATAAAACATTATTTGGCGCAAATAAATAATTATTTAGCACAAATAAATTTTATTTGGCGCAAATAAAAAATTATTTAGAACAAATAAAAAATTATTTAGCATAAATAAAAAATTATTTGGCGCAAATAAAAAATTATTTAGCACAAATAAATTTTATTTGGCGCAAATAAAAAATTATTTAACACAAATAAATTTTATTTGGCGCAAATAAAAAATTATTTAGCACAAATAAAAAATTATTTGGCGCAAATAAAAAATTATTTAGCAAAAATAAAAAATTATTTAGAACAAATAAAAAATTATTTAGCATAAATAAAATTTTATTTTGCTCAAATAAAATTAATTTGAATCAAATAAAAATTTTTTTTCTTCTAAGAGTCTAATTTTTTTTTTAAATAGAAAAAAAATTATTTAGTACAACTAAAATTTTATTTGGCATAAAGAAAATTTTTTTTTTGCCTCCAAGACAATAATGTATATTCTCTCTGGGTATATATGGTATCAATATTCGTTAATTAATAAAAATTTAATTAATTAATAATATTGATTTTTAAAAAATGAATGTTGCAAGGAAAAAGATATTTACTTCTTTTTTTTTTTTTTAATAAAAAATTTTAATTAATGATATAGATACTGACAATCAACGTGTGATCATCAATGTGAAAGATGTCAACGATGAGCCTCCATACTTCATTAACAGGCCATTGCCCATGCAAACAGTCGTGCAATTGAACGCACCACCCAACACGCACGTGTTTACACTTCAGGCACGAGATCCTGACACCGATCATAATATTCATTATTTTATTGTCAGAGATCGCAGTAAGTATATAAAAAAATAAATAAAGTAAATGAAAAAAAAACAAATTGAAAAAAAAACAGTAGAAAAAAAAACCCCTAAAATTACCGCTTTCAAGTAATATTAGCAGATCAATACCCGCTCCATTTGACATACTGGGCGTGCGCGAACACACTCGCGGGAATTGGAAAAGGGAATTTTTATCCTTAAGGATCGAAAATCTTCAAAGATAAAATGATACACATTTCAAAAAAAAAAAAAGAATTTCCACATTAAGAGAAAAAATTTCTTTTGCTCAAAAATAAATATTTTTTTTGCATGAAAGAAATTTGTTATTTAAAAAAATTGCTATTTTAATAATTATTTTCATATTAATAATTAATAATAAATTAATAATATAATAATAAATAAATAATTAAATTTGTACAAATTAAATGAAAAAAGAAATTATTCTTTAAATGTAAAAAATAATTAATAATTTTAATAATTACTTTAATAAATCACTGTTTATTTTCAATAAAATAACAGTAATTTGGTATTTTTTATTTATATACTCGGGAAGTATTTTTTTTTATCTAAAAATTAAAATTTTGATATTTCCAAAAATGAATATATATTTTTCTTATGAAGATTTTGATCAATATATGAATTTTTTTTTTTGTTAATAAAAAATAATTATTATATAATTATTAAGTTATTGTTAATATTTGTAAAATCTCTTACCTCCACTAAAAAAAAAATGCCTTATTTTGTAGCTGGCGGTCGCTTTGAGGTTGACGAAAGATCAGGTGTCGTGAGAACAAAAGGCACGGATGTTTTTCAATTGGATATGGAGTATGTCCTTTATGTGAAAGCCGAGGATCAAAATGGTCGAATTGATGAAAGAAAATTTCAATCAACACCTGAAGAACGATTGTCAATTGTCGGTGGAAAGCGTGCTCCTCAATTTTACATGACTGCTTATGAGGCTGAAATACCTGAAAATCAAAAAAAAGACTCTGAGTAAGCTTATATTTTTTAGAATAAAAAAAAAAAAAAAAATTAATTACGTTTTTTTTGCCCTTGAAATAATTTTTCCATAATTTTCTTGAAGTAATTTTCTTTATTTTTTTTTTTCGAACTAATTTTCCATATTTTTCTTGAAATGGTTTTCCATATATTTATTTAAGTAATTTTTTCACAATTTTCTTGAAGTAATTTTCCACCTTTTTCTTGGAGTAATTTTCTATATTTTTCTTTAAATAATTTTCCACCTTTTTCTTGGAGTAATTTTCTACATTTTTCATGGAAATAATTTTCCATATTTTTCTTGAGGTAATTTTCCACATTTTCCTTGTAGTAATTTTCTATATTCTTCTTAAAGTAATTTTCCACCTTTTTCTTGGAGTAATTTTCTATATTTTTCTTTAAATAATTTTCCATATTTCTCTTGAATTAATTTTCTACATTTTTCATGGAAATAATTTTCCATATCTTTCTTGAGGTAATTTTCCACATTTTCCTTGTAGTAATTTTCTATATTCTTCTTAAAGTAATTTTCCACCTTTTTCTTGGAGTAATTTTCTATATTTTTCTTTAAATAATTTTCCATATTTCTCTTGAATTAATTGTCTACATTTTTCATGGAACTAATTTTCCATATTTTTCTTGAGGTAATTTTCCACATTTTCCTTGAAGTAATTTTCTATATTCTTCTTAAAGTAATTTTCCACCTTTTTCTTGGAGTAATTTTCTATATTTTTCTTTAAATAATTTTCCATATTCCTCTTGAAGTAATTTTCCACATTTTTCTTGGAAGTAATTTTACATATTCCTTCTTGAAGTAATTTTCCACATTTTTCTTGAAAGTGATTTTCCATATTCTCCTTGAAGTAATTTAAAATTATTTCCTTTTTTTCTTATTTTATTTTTATAAATTTTTTATTTTTGTAATTTTTTGTGTTTCTTTAATTAAATTAATATCTAATAATAATTTTGTAATTTTTTTTGCAGTATAATATCAGTGAAAGCAAAATCATTTGCTGATCGTGAAATTAGATACACATTAAAAGCACAAGGTCAAGGAGCAGCGGGAACATTTAATATTGGACCAACATCAGGAATTGTGAAACTCGCCAAGGAACTGGATTTTGAGGATCTTCGACAACCGCATATTTATTCACTGGTTGTCACAGCCACTGAAGATTCTGGAGGTTTTTCCACATCAGTTGAGGTGAATATCCTCAACGTAAAAATTGTTTTCCAATTTCTCCATTTTATATCATCTCTTTTCTATTCTTATTCTTCTTTTTCTTTTCCAATAAATAAAGTTATTGTCCTGTGATAATGCTCCCAAAAAAAAAATGTATATCCCTTTTTACATTGGCTACATTTTTCATCATTTTCGAAGCGGAAGTAATATTTTTAGATACCCAATTTTCCGGCATTTGAAAAAAAAAAATTCAAAAATAGTTGTTTGACAAAATTACGATTATGTAATTTGTTAAGTACCATAGCTTTTGTTGTCTTAAAATTTTTGATGGCCCAACTAAAGTTTGTTTGTGTACAACCAAAATTGCCGTAACAACAAAATTTTGATCAAAATGTTTTGTTGTTAACTCAAATATTTTTCTCACTGTATAGTTAAAATCAGTTTCTGTATTAACTTATCTTTTCCTCTAAATTATTATTAATTAAACAATAATTTTAATTCGAAAATTAATGTCCACAGCTTACAATAAAAGTATCGGATGTCAACGACAATGCTCCAAAGTTCGAATTACCGGATTATCAAGCCCATAATGTGGATGAAGATATTGCATTGGGAACCAACATCCTCAAAGTCAAGGCAACGGATGCTGATTCTGGTGCTAATGCTGATATCGAGTATTTGGTTTCCGATGATCACTTTAGCGTTGATTCAAACGGTATCATTGTCAACAATAAACAATTGGATGCTGACAATAATAATGCATATTATGAATTTGTCGTCACTGCAAAGGATAAAGGTGAGAAAAATACAAGTTTCTCTTGATTGAAATTTAAAAATTAAAATCAGTAATTATTTTCTAACAATTTGAATTTATGGTCCAAATTATCTTCTCTCCAAAAAGCTTCTTAAATAAGGGAACTAATTTTCCAGCGATTGATAATAATTTATTACAAAATAAACTTCATGTGTAATGCACATTTTATCTCTCCCAAGGGACTTGAATGCCGCAGGAGTTACTTTGGTATTGTTAGACAATTAATGTTGCAAGACATTTTTATTTACCTCGTAAATTAACACACGGGGAAAGCCAATACTGTATCGACCACAATTTATCTTGTTTTTTTTTTTAATACTTGATTTGAAAACAAAAAATTACGATATATTTTTAGATATTATTGGGTTGTTATAATCGTAGCCTTTTTTTTCTCATCCTTAAATTATTTTCAGGCGAACCATCAAAAACTGGAACGGCAACAGTGAGAATTTATACAAAAAATAAAAATGACGAGGAACCGAAATTTTCACAGCAGGTCTACACGCCAAATGTAGATGAGAATGCTGGACCAAATACACTTGTAACAACAGTTGTTGCTTCTGATAAGGATGGCGATAATGTTCGTTTTGGTTTTGTTGGTGGTGAAATAGTATCAGGACAATTTGTAATTGAAGAAATAACTGGCGTTATACGTCTTCGTGGCAAGAATATATCATTAGAACGTGATAAATATGAATTAAATGTAACGGCAATGGACGATGGAGCATGTTGTTTAAATGGTGATAAAGTTATACACACGAGTACTGCGGTTGTTGTTGTTTTTATAACCGATGTTAATGACAATAAACCAGTATTTAAAGAATGTAGCGCTTATAATCCAAAAGTTGAAGAAGGAGCACCTAATGGAAGTCCAGTTATTAAAGTTCAAGCAACAGATGAAGATAAAGGTGTCAATGGACAGGTGAAATATTCCATTGTACAACAACCAAATCAAAAGGGAACCAAATTCACCGTTGATGAGGAAACTGGTCAAGTTTCAACGAATAAGGTACATATAATTAGAAACTATTTTTATTTTGTTTTCGTTTCTGTTTCTAACTTTGTTTCTCTTTCTGTTACTGATTCGGTTTCTATTTCTGATTCGGATTTTGTTTCTGTTTCTACTTTTGATTCTGCTACTGATTCTGATTTTGTTTCTGATACGGTTTCTGTTTTAGTTTCCGTTTCTGATTCTGTTTTTGATTCTGTTTCGGTTTCTGTTTCGTGTTCGGTTTCCTTTCCGGATTCTGATTCGGTTTCTCTTTCTGTTTATGTTTCGGTTTCTGGTTCTGTTTTCGATACTTTTTCTGTTTCAGTTTCTGCTTCTGATTTTGTTTCTGTTTCGTGTTCGGTTTCCTTTCCTCATTCTGATTCGGTTTCTCTTTCTGTTTCTGTTTCGGTTTCTGTTTCTGGTTCTGTTTTCGATACTTTTTCTGTTTCAATTTCTGCTTCTGTTTCTGTTTCGTGTTCGGTTTCCTTTCCTGATTCTGATTCGGTTTCTCTTTCTGTTTATGTTTCGGTTTCTGATTCTGTTTTCGGTTTCCTTTCCTGATTCTTATTCGGTTTCTCTTTCTGTTTATGTTTCGGTTTCTGATTCGAATTTTGTTTCTGTTTTTGATTCTGTTTCTGGTTCTGTTTTCGATACTTTTTCTGTTTCAGTTTCTGCTTCTGATTTTGTTTCTGTTTCGGTTTCTGTTTCGTGTTCGGTTTGCTTTCCTGATTCTGATTCGGTTTCTCTTTCTGTTTATGTTTCGGTTTCTGATTCGTGTTCGGTTTCCTTTCCTGATTCGGTTTCTCTTTCTGTTTATGTTTCGGTTTCTGATTCGAATTTTGTTTCTGTTTTTGATTCTGTTTCTGGTTCTGTTTTTGATTCTGTTTCTGGTTCTGTTTTTGATACCTTTCTGTTTCAGTTTCAGTTTCTGATTCTGCTTTTGATTTTGTTTCTGATTCGGTTTCTGATTCTGTTTTGTTTCATGTTTTCTTTTTCAGTTCAGATTATAATTCCTCTTTTTCATTCCAGGTGTTTGACAGAGAAGGCGATGATGGAAAATTTGTTTCCGTCACTGTAAAAGCAACAGATCAGGGAGAACCATCTTTGGAAGGTGTTTGTTCCTTTACTGTTGAAATAACAGATGTGAACGACAATCCACCGTTGTTTGATCGTCAGGTAAAAATAAAAATAATTTCCTCAGCTACATTTTTTTAAATATAAATACTTATTTATTTGTGAGAAAAAAAATTGACAGCTTTAAAACCAGATTGACCTACTTTTCATCCTGTTTTCTTTGAGAGGGACAAAAAAAAAGAGAATTCCACAGAAACAAGGGAATTTTCTTTTTTTTTCTCCTATAAATTGAAAAAGTTTTCTTTTCGAAATGAATTATCGATTTGCCACTCTGCGGGATAAATATGTTTCAAATAGACTTTCAATATTGCAAATTTTGAAACTTTGCGGTGTAAAAACCGCAAAAAGTAATTTTCGAATATCCACAGAATTTTACAAAGCAAATAAAAAATTGTAATTTTTTCAGAGATACGTTGAAAATGTGAAACAAGACGCGAGTATAGGGACCAATATTCTGAGAGTGTCAGCATCCGACGAGGATGCAGATAACAATGGAGCAATAATGTATTCACTGAGCGCACCGCACAACGATCATGGACTTGATTATTTCGAGATTCAACCAGAATCTGGTTGGATCGTTTTAAAGAAGCCATTGGACGTAAGTGTCATTATTATTTAATTTATTAAAAAAAAGAAAATAATAATAATATTAAGCTAACAAGGAATTAATATATAGAAATATAACAGTACATACATATATATTATAATATATATATAAATATTTTTCGATACCTGAAATACGTCCTTATGAACGAGTCAATCTAACAATTGGTAAAAATAACAATGCAAAAATTTGTCATTGTAATACACGCTTGTAATATATTCGCTGGTCCCCAGGACACTGCCAAGAGTTAGATGTTGCTATTTCAGATATCGAGTAGTTTTTGATTTTCTTTTTTTTTTATGTAGAAATATTTATTATTATAAACTTGAGTGTACACCTTCTGCCGACATTCTATATTTGCGTTCACTTACGTTTTAAAAAACACAATATATATTATAAATATATATCTATATATATATATTTATATCCGTTTAGTTAATGCCTAATCGGAAGACTTGTATACTAATACGTTTGACCGATATATTAATTATTTCCTCATCACTAATATATTTGCAACGAAATGAGTTTCTTTTGTACGGCACTTGTATAGAATTTTATTCCCATTGATATGCACAATGTGTTCACTATGGTAAATACTTAGCTATGCCTGATTTCCTCAAATGCTTTAAGAAAAAAAAAAATGAAAAAAAAACAGTATATTATAAAATACCTGAATCGATCGACCATTCGGGCCAACTTTTTTTTTTTTTTAATTTCATCATTATGTCAAAACAAACATTCAACAACAACAACTCATCTCGAGTAAAAAGCTGACCGACTCGTTCGATGAAGCTGTGTGTGCCCAATTCCAAAACGTGCTACAAAATTCCTATCACTGATACCGGCGGCTTTTTTTTTTTTTAATTCAAATTCTCTCCTTTAATATTGGGCAAATTCGATTTGATCATTAAAATTTTTGATGGTATTTTTGTAAAAGATTTTTTATTTCGAATTTAAATATGGAAAATTTTTTTTTTTGGATTGAATTACGAATCAATATTTTTTTCAGTGTAGTAACAATTAGTATTAAAAAGTGATTTGTTAATTTTAATTTTAATAGCAGCAATAATAAATTAAAAAATTTTGATAACAAATTTTGATAAAAAAATTGGTAAATTTTTTACTAATATTCATCTAAAAATTTTCTTTAATTCGAAATTGTCCAAAATATCACTACATCCAAAAAAAAAAAAAAAAAAATACAAAAATGAAGAAAACTCGAAAAAATATAATTAAAAATTTATAAAATGGTACGTGTACGGTTTTTATAGGATCGTCGATCGCTAAAACGTGTGCACTTCTTCTTCTTCTTCTTCTTCTACTTTTTTTTTTTTTGTTCTTTCTATAATCAGATAATAATAATCTTTGTGTGTGATCTTCAGCTAATTAATTATTAATAATCTTTTTCTTGTGCCCCCCAAAAAAAATCCTGATAATAATTAAAATATTAAAAAAAAAAAAACAGTCCAAATCCGCAAAATAATGAAATTTAATAAGAGTTAATTAATTAAAATATCTTCGTAAGCCAGAATTAACTAATGTGAATTTTTTTGCAAAATGGAAGTGATGTTTTTTTTTTGAACTTCCAGGAGCAGGTGGGAATCGTCTATTTTTGAGCCCCATTACAGTGTACACCGACTTCTACGCATTTTGTGGTGCATCAGACATAAACAATTTTTTTGAACATGCTTGCATAATTTTTATATGAATGTATTTTTCAAGTCTTTACAGGAACGGATCTAGCTCTCGCTCCTTTTCCTCTAATTATTTTTTTTTTTTAAATTTTTTTGTTATATTAATTTCTCTATTATTTCTCGTATATTTTCTTCTTTGATTTCAAATTTTCTTTGTCTCAAAATACTTTTCAGTTTCTTATCTTTTTGTTCTCCAATACAGTTATTATACTTTTATCCCTCGAGTCCATTTGAAAATTATATACACTTTAATTTATAAATTATTTTATTGCAATTATAAATTACACTTATATTTTTTTTGAAAAGAAATTTCAAATTTGTTGCATTAAAAAATATGTCAAAAAAAATTCTTTATTTCATAAATAGAAATTTAAATATGAATTTTCGTTTGAATATTAATATTCAGGTGTTCAATAAAATAAAAAAAAAAAAATTTGAAAGAAAATTAAAAAGAATTTTTTTAGTTTACAATTTCAAATAAATTTTTTTCTATGAAGTAATTATTTAATTTTTTCTAAAATAAATAAATTTGAATATTAATAAAATTTGTTCACTGAATTTAATTACACTTATTTTAATATTTAAAAATTGAAATTTAAAAATTAAAGAATTCTATTAAATGATTTTATTTTTGTGTTAAAATAAATAAAATAGAAATTACATGAAAAAAAATTTTAAAAATATTGAGTAAAAATAATTGTATAATTTGTGTAATAAATTTTGTAATGGACTTTTATTCCTTTTTTTTTGGTAAAATATTTTCTCCAGATTAATTATTTATTTTTTTTTTTTAATTTATAACGAGAGCAAGTGCGCACAGCCCGTAAGAAACTGTCCGTTTTGTGACATTTTTTCTTCTGTGATTGGGGCAGCATACACTGTCAAAAAAAAAAAAAGTAACAAAAAATACAACCAAAACAAATTACGTAACGTCCACCGGTTTTTATTTTTCTTTTTTTTTTTTATTTGTAAATTATCGTTTTAACGAGTTAAACAACAAAAAAATGGGGTCGTCATAGAATTACTTTTGACCCATTAAAAACGCAAAAAAAAAAAAATTCTGAAAAGTTAGCCTCCCTTCTCCTCGATTTCTGAAAAGAAAAAAACAAAAACCATCATCATCTCTCTCTCTCCTAAATAATCTTCCTTAAACCGCCTTCTTTAACGCATTCTGCTTGCATGCAAATGCCTGCCATTGGTTGATTTCGTAAAAAGACTAATTTTTGATCTTCTTTATATTGTTTATGTTTGTGTTTATTGCACCAATTTACTTTCTTCGGATTTGATGAAACAAAAAAGGGCTGTTTTACAGTAAGTAGGATCCTTTTTGTGTTTCACTCTGCTCAAGGCGATATATTTCAAATTGTATACAAAAATATTCACAAAAAAAAAAAAAAAATTCTTGACATAGCGCTCGCTGCTAATTCTATGAGCGTCTCTTCTTTCAGTTTCACGTCCCAAAAAAAAAAAAAAATTTATACTCTATACTTGCTTTTCATTTCTTTAATTTCTTTCTATTATTTTTTTTTTAATTTTCTCTTTTCTTTCATTATTTCTCGCCGTGAATTGTACAATTTTTAATTCTTTTTGGAAATTTAATTCAACGAAAATTATTTTAATATTTTCCATTGGAACAAAGAAATTAACGAAAAAATTAAAAAATAAAATGAAAATAAACAAATTTTTTTCAAATAATATTTAAAGAGTAATTTAAAAAAATAATATTTTAATAATATAAACTGTAAAAAAATTTATTTTATTCAAATTTGTTAGTTGACTAATAATAAAAATAAATATTTATTTGTATTAAATAATTATTGAGTCAATTAAATTGTATTTGTTTCAAATACAGAAATTATTGGTTCAAATATAATTTTTTTAATTCAAATAAAAATTATTTGATTCAAGTAAATATTTATTTTGTTCAAATAAAAATTATACGGTTCAAATAAATATTTACTATGTTCAAATAAAAATTATTCAATTCCACAGTAAATATTTATTTGTTAATAGTCACGTGACCAATTATTTGAATCATAAATTTTTTTTAGTATAAATTTTGGAAATACTGAAAAATAATTCTATCAAATAATTTTTTTTTTTTTTTGGCGCAAAAATTGTACATTTCACAATCTTTTACTTTTTACTATTCCCACTTTTGTAAAGCTATTGTGTTCTATTTGTTTGTGAGTTTGTTTTTGAGTTTTTATTTGAATTCTTTTTTTTTAATTCTGTAATTTTTATTTTTCAATTTTTTTTTCATTTAACTTTCCTTGAATTTATAAAACCGTGTTTGTACATATTATACACATGAGTTTTTAATTATTTATTTTTTTTTTTTTAATTTTAAGTCGGGTTGGGTACTGGACGAATAAACAGGTGACATTTATCACAAATACAAAAAAAAAATGTTTTTTTTTCTCACAAGTAGTGATTTAAATTTTTTGCTTTTAATTAATTTTTTTTTTTGTTCTTGTCTGATAACACAGATTTGAGTGTTTCAGAAGCAACTATAGGTCCAGTTTCGTCGTCCAGGTACCTAATTGGACTCTTGTACTCCTTACGATAAAAAAAAAAATTATTGGGAGTAGTATGAGGATTCAGAGCTGCCAATCATCTGTCATCTCAATCGACTGTCATTTTAATTATAGATATATTTTTTAATTTTATTTATTTTTCACATTTTTTATTTGATTTATTTCAATTGTTTTTTTTTTTTGTTGTTTCTCCTTTTTTTTATTATTTATTTTAACTTTCTAAATAAATATTTAAATCAAGTTTTCAAAGATTTAGAAATTTATTGATTTTTGAAAATAGTTTTTCAATAAATCAATTCAATTATTTTTTTTATATATTTCTAGTTAAAATTTATTTAAAAACAAAATTATTTTCATTTTAGTTTTAAATGAAATTTTTTTTTTAATTTTTGATTACGAGACTGATTGAGCTTTGTTATTTTTGAATTTTTTACTCCAATTCCCAATAAGTTTTTTTTTTCCCGTAAGGATCAATCATTTTTATATTATTATTTTCTGTACAATTTTGAGTTCGAAATCAGTTTGTATAAAAGCAAAAAAAAAAAAAAAAGAAAGTAAAATTTTTTTTGTACAAAATGTATCTATCAAATTGTAAAATTCAGTTGTAAAGATAGAGTTAATTATTTGAGTTCTTAAAGTTTAATTTGAGTTTGCAAAGTTTAAATTGAGTTTATGAAAAGAGTTGCCAGAACGCTGTGCGAGTTTAAGTTTGCGTCATGCGTTTTTTTTTTCAAGACTAATATATAAGTTTTAACGAGACTTAAATTGCGAAATAGGCTATACATGATAATATCAGTTTCTCGAAAGAAAAACAATTTTTTGTTTGTTTTTTTTTTCGTATTTTACTAATGAAAAATTAATCGTAAAATAGTTTAGAACTTTTTTTTTTTTAATTAAATACATATTTACAGTTAATTACTATTTTAAATTATAATTTTTATTTCTTATTATAATTGTAATTATTATTCATTATTCTTATTATTTTTATTATTATTATTATTATTATTATTATTATTATTATAAACAAATTAATAATTGTAATATAAAATATATTAGTCAACGATAAAGAAATCTTGACGCAAACTCAAAATTTGGCTGCTCTGATCGTTATTTTTTTCTCAGAAATTTTTTTTTTTAATCAAATTTCATTTAGTAGATTTTGTTTAAAATTTTTAATAATTGGTATTAAGTTTGTAATATAAATTTTTTTATAGTCAAATTTATGTTCTTAAATTTTATTTATTTTTTTTTTCTAATCAAACTTGAGTAGGTGACATCAAGATTTTATTTCAAAAGTTAAATTTTCAAAATTATTTACTATCTGTGTTTGAATTACGTAAGTTAATAAAGAGGTTAAAGTAAATTTTGAGCATTTAATGTTTAAGCATTAAGGATCAATTTTGTTTTTGAGTCTAAAAAGTAAATAAAATTTGAGTCCCTTAAAGTAAAATTTCTTTCTATAATGAACAATAAAGTAATATATGATTTAAAAAAATAGTTTTGAGTCTCTAAATTAAAATTTTTATTTCTATGGTAAAATTTGTTTTTCTAATTTTTTTCAACTTGCATAATTCAAACATGAAGTTATTTAAAATTAACTAATGTAAAGAATAATATTTTAATTTAAAAAAAAATTTGATTTGTGAATAAAATAATTTTCGGGAAAAGATTGTTTTTTTTTTTTTTTTGGTCAGCAGCGCGGATCTGTCACTACCTCATGAACTCTTGTCACACTTTTTAAAATTTTTTTTATTTTTTTTATTTTTTTAAAATAATGATTTTGATCGTAAACGATTGTACAGTGTCCCAAAGTGTCCTCTGTAACTTGACGGCCCATATTTTGCCAATAGCGAGACAGGTATCGCCTGAGAGTACGTGCCTCCGACAGAGGGACGCCACCCTCGTACGCTGACGTGGACGTTGAGTTAGACGTCGTAGACAGAAACAGTAACCCTCCTAAGTGGGAAAAGAGCGTATACGGCCCCATTCACATCAAAGAAAATGTCACAGTGGGTACTAAGGTGACGCAGGTGAAAGCCAGGTTTGTATGTCACGACATCACCAAAAAAAAAAAAAAAATAAAAAAAAAAAAAAATTTGAAAAAAAATTTTTTTGAAGACATGTCGTGCCAAGCCATGCTCTGTTGATCTTCACACATCATTTTTTCCCCACTCTCGTTTTTGCCATTATATATTATATATAGCCACATTTTTGCCATTTTTCATTATACAACATATTATTAACAGGTATATTTATACATTGTTCACAGATATTGCAATTATGAGTTCTTGTAAAATTATTATTTATTTATTTATTTTTTTTTGAAACAAGATTTTTAATTATTTTTATGGCAATTAATAAATGTATTTGATTAATTAACAGATTCTGAATTGAGATGACCTATATTTATGAAACGAACATCATGATTTGCACGAATGTGTCAATGCATGATATCAACTGGGTGGTGACACTTAGTGACATCTACACAAAAAATTAAAAAAAAAAAAAAAAAACGTTTCATTGTTTATAGCTTTGTACCTTTTTTTCTTGTACTTGAAATAATTGAATTGGCAATTCGACTTATTTAAAAGAAAAAAAAAATAAACGAATTAATTATTTCAAAACAGAATTAAAAAAAAAAAATTGATTAGAGAGGGAAAATAATTTTTGAACGTCGGGGAATCACCGAATTATCTCGCTGTCTTTAGTATGACACTATTTTGGTGCGCTTTTTAAATGTTTTTTTAAAAAAAATTTAATTTTAAAAAAATAAAAAGAATTTTTTATAATAACATATATTTTGATTATAAATTTAAAATAAATTTTATAATAAAAATATATTTTTATTACATTTAAAATAAATTTTATAATAAAAATATATTTTTATTACATTTAAAATAAATTTTATAAAATAAAAATGTGAAACGTCGGGGAATCACCGAATTATGTCGCTGTATTTAATAAGAGAATATTTTGGCGCGCTTTTTAAATATATTTTTAAATTAAAATTTGTTTTTTTTTTAATAAAAATAATTTATTGTAATAAAAATATATTTTTATTATATTTAAAATAAATTTTATAATAAAAATATATTTTTATTACATTTAATATAAATGTTATAAATTAAAAATTTGAAACGTCGGGGAATCACCGAATTATATCGTTATATTTAATAAAAAAATATTTTGGCGCCCTTTTTAATATATTTTTAAATTAAAATTTGTTTTTTTAAAACTAAAAGTAATTTATTTTAATAAAAATAAATTTTATAATAAAAATTTATTTTTATTATATTTAAAATAAATTTTATAATAAAAAATTTTAAACGGCTGGGAATCACCGAATTATGTCGTTATATTTAATAAAAGAATATTTTGGCGCGCTTTTTAAATATATTTTTAAATTAAAATTTGTTTTTTTTAAATAAAAATAATTTATTGTAATAAAAATATATTTTTATTATATTTAAAATGAATTTTATAATAAAAAAAATATTTTTATCACATTTAAAATAAATTTTATAATAAAAATATATATTTTTTTTAAATAAAAATAGTTTTTTATAATATAAATACATTTTTAAAAAATAAAAATAATGGTTCAGTATATTCAAAATTAAATTTATAAAAATATATATAAATATATTTGGCAAAATAAAAATAAAGATCAATAAATTTAATAATTTTTAAACGCCGGGGAATCACCGAAGTGTGTCGTCTTTTTTAATAAGTGGAACTTATGGCGCGCTATTCAAATATAATTTTTTTTTTTAATAATATATTTCTATTCAAAAATAATATATTTTTATTTAAAAATAATATATTTCTATTTAAAAATAATAAATTTCTATTTAAAAATATAGAAAAATCGTTTTACGTCTATTAAAATAATTTGAAACGTTTTTTTTTATCTTAGACATATTTTTAAATAGAAATATAGTTTTTTAAAATGAAAAAATAGTTTTTTAAATTAGAAATATATTTGTCACCAAAAATAAAAATAAAAAAATCAAAGGCAAATTTTTTTTTTCCGCATAACGAAAAATGTTTTTAGAATTTAAAAATTAAGACCAATTTTTTGTTTCGTGGGTTAAATTGGCTTAAAACTTTGGAGATTTTTGGGGTCGTAGATTACGAATTTTGACAAAAAAACATATTTCAATTTTATCATTCATGAAAAATAATATATTCACAATAGTTTCGATAAAAATAAAAAGAAAGAATAGCCAATGCAATTACCTCAAGATAAGTTGAAATTGAAGACCAAAATTTTGTAGAAGGACACTTGTTCCTTGATAGGACCTTAATTCCCAGTATCTTGTAAAATTCCTTTTTTCGTTTTTTTCTTTCTTTTTCACTAACATCCCTTTTTCAGACCCTTTTGAAGAGCAGGCATGGTTAAGCGCGGCGTGTGCGTGCGTGGTAGATCGCTCAGCATACTCCTTTATATTATACATTATTATTATTATTATTATTATTATTATTATATATATATTATCATTCCTTCCTATATTATTATATATTATACATATTATATTATATATATACTTAATACTATATATATCAATTATATAATACTATGCTGTATAAGTCTATATGCATATATATATTTCTAGTTATACAATACTCTACTATATACAAATATCACCTAACAAAAAAAAAGTCATCGTACACACGTGCTGTACGAACCACTCACAACTATCACCTAAGGAATCCACATCCAACATCGACTATAAACGAACGACTCGTGCACAGGTCAAGAGTGACGTGCCAGGTCGTCAAGAAATTCTCTCTTGAGTCCAAAAAAAAAGAAAAAAAAGTTTCTTTTTTTTAATGAAAAAATAGAGAACAAAAAAAAGAAAATGCGTCTATTAAAAAAAAATGAATCGGAAAAATAAAAACCATATAGGTACTACGGGATCACGAGACTACGATTGTTGATCAGGACCCGGATCGATTTTAGGGACCCTCTCCTCCAGCCTCCAGCTCAGCTGACCCCGGACTTGTTTTTTTTTTCTCATTTTTTCTTCTCAAGTCAAAAAAAAAAAAAAATAAATAAATAAATAAAAAAAAAATGAAAATTTTTCTATAAATTATCATAACTAACATATGTTGTTTTTGTTTTTTTCCATTTGTTATATACCGCGTCTGGTGTGTAGCGCGAGACATACAAGCTGGAGGCGATGGCCCAAGACAAGGGCTTCCCGCCCTTGTCAAGAACGGTGGAGGTTCAGATTGACGTTGTGGACCGTGCGAATAATCCACCCGTATGGGACCACGTTGCGTATGGTCCAACCTACTGTAAAGAGAACATGGCCGTTGGGGCTAAAGTTGTGTCTATTAAAGCCAGGTCTGTCACACTGTTAATGCTCCGTGCGGCTGCACGAAAAAAAAAAAAAAAATATTTAAAAAAAAAAAAAAAAAAAAAAATTACCCGCCCTGCACGCAAATCTCGTGGCAGTATATTGTTCTTGTGCACGTTAATTGATATTGTGTACGAAACCCACATTACACATCGTTACACAGACAATTTTTTAATTATTATTATTACCATTATTATTATTATTATCATCATCATTATTCTCATACTTTTTATTATTATTATATTATACTATATTATATTTATATATATACCTTACATCAACGGTGGTTAGTAAGTTTGTATTATCGGTAATCGGTCATGGTTTGGTAGAGTAGATTTTTGATTTTTTTTTTCATAATAGTGAATTTTATTGAAGAAGAGGCGAACGGTGAAAATATTATTTTTTTTTTACTAAATTATTAATAAAATTTGTTAAACGAATTTTAATTAATAATTACTAATTTTGAATTAGTATAGAAAATTTTTTATTTCAATTAGTAACTGACTTTTTGGTATTAATTAGTTTTCTTCTACTAAAGAATTAGTAAAAAAAAAAAAAGTTTTCTTTTCTGAATTAATTAATTGATTAATTAGTAACTGCTAAATCTAAATTAGTAAAACTTTTAACTAATTTAAATTAGTAACTAGTTAGTAATTAGTTAAATTAGTAATTTTTCTACCGAATTAGTCAAAATTTTACTAATTTTCAATTATTTTTCACCAAAATTTTAGTAAAAAAAAATAATAGAAAAAAATATGTAAAGTTAAATTAAAAATAAATTATATAAAAAAGCAAATAGTAAATATTTAGAAAAAAAAAAAACAGTGAAAATTCTTGTCCATTTTTTACTAATTTAGATTTAGGAAGATAACTTTTATATATATAATAAATATTATATTATATAATTTTAATATTTTAATAATAAATAATACATAAATTAAATTAAAAATTAAAATAAATAAAAAATTCTTCTCTTTTTACAATTAAAATATTAAAAAATTATGTTCGCTTATTCCTCAATATGATAAATTCGCATTTTTTTTTTGTTTAATTTTATTTATTACGTTTTTTTTTTTGAAGAAAAAAAAATTCTTCTCAAATCAACATTTTTGAGTTTAAGTTGAAAAAATTTTGTAGATATGTTTGTTATAGAAAAATGTTGTCCTCGTCCGTGTTATGATAAAAAAAAATGTGTCTGTTTTAAATTTATAATCTTTTGCCATTTTAGCTCGTTGGGAGATAAATTTTGTAAATTATCCAAATTTTTTCAGTACTAAATTTTATTTTTTGTATATATACTTTTTTTAAAATTTTATTCTCATATTTCTCTTTTAAATTTACATAAAAATTATAATTAATTTTATTCATATATTATGATTTATTTAACAGTATAATTATAATTAAAATTATAATAAAAATTGTAATTAAAATTATAATTATAAAAAATAATTAATTATATGTTTTGAAAATAATTATATTTTTCATAATTTTGCATCAATTTCGTAATAAATTATAAATCTGAAAGTAGAGGCAATATTCGATTTTAATAATAACGGAGGATATTTAAAAATTTAAATATTCATTTTACCAACGTTTACTTTTACAACTCTTCAATCTGCTGTTGAAATATTTAGTTTAATTATTAATTGTTTAAACCATATCTGGTATAAACAAGACAAATTAAAAAAAAACTTGTTTTTACATTTTTTTTACATTTTTTTAAACAATCAAAAAAAAAAAAATTAAAAGCAATTCGAACATTTATACTCGTTAATTTTCTTTATCAATTAAAATGTTACAATATTTGATATTTTAATTGGATACTATATCCGCTCTTTTCATCCGTCCATTGATTTGATATTTTTATTTCACTGGTTTTTTTTTTTTTTTTTTTATTTTTTTTTTAATCATACATGTTTCAAGAAATTTGTTAATTGAACAAAAAAAATATTTTAATTAAACAACTTTTGACGCGTGTATAAAAATTTATCAATAATTTAAAATAAAATTTTAATTAATAATAATGAAATATTATTTTAAATTAACTAAATAAATTTCAACACAGATTTTTCATTTTTAATCCCGCCGATTTTGGGTAGCTTTAAATTTTTAATTAAATTTGGAAAAAAAAACAATTTTTCTTTTATTTTCTCTCTCTGGTAGAATTTTTTTTAATTATTAAAAAAATAGACCGATTACCGGTAAAAACTGCAAATTTATAGAATAATTTCGAGTATATACCGTTGACGTGTTAGGTGCATCGACACAAAAGAAAAAAAAAAAAAAACGTTTTTTGAAAATAAAAAAAAAAAATCTCCCGGACACTTCTTTTTTCACGCGTCATACACTCGATGCACGTCTTTTTTTTCGGTGTGTGGCTGTTCACGATGACCCGCCTCGTTGTCTCTCTGTTCATCCCTTTTAGTGATGAATCTTTATCACAGAGCACTCTTTCTCACAGAAAAATGTAGAGTCATTTTTTTTCTCATGAAAAAAATTTCTCACTAAATAAATCAAAAAAATAAAATTTTAAAATAAAAATAAACAATTTTTTTTACTAGAATGAATTGAAAAAATAAATTGGAATAAAAATTATAGACTGTCAATTTAGAAAACAAAAAAAAATAAATAAATAAAATATAGGTTAATAAAATAAAATTAACAAAAATTGAAAAATGAAAATGATTTTACATTTTTTCTGTGTTTTGCACTCTTTGCTCGTTGTACTATCCTTTATAATTAAAAAAAAAAATTAATTTATCTGCCTGTCATTTATTTATCGATAAAATTGTAATCCCTGGACTTTTTTTAATATTTTTAAATTAAAAAAAAAAAACATTTCGCGGCAAAAAATGTTTATTTTTACATAAAATTTAATTAAAAAGCAAAAAAAAAAAAAATTCACAAAATTGCCTTCTATTGTCAAAAGATGTTGGAAGAATGGTTTTCAAAATTTTCTATAGAAACAATAAAATGACCTATTTAGATATAAAAAAAAATATGACAAAATGCATTTCAATAAAGCTGAAAATATTTCTCCATTGTTGCATATAAAAACAAATAAACGATAAATATTGAATTTATTTAAATCTTTTTTTGAAAATAATTCAAACGAATTTAGAAATATCCTTTCATCTAGAAATTTACCTAAATTCTATCTAATGCTTTTTCAAAATTTTTAAATTTAATATTTTAAATTTTGTTTTACATTTTGTTTAAAATTTTATGTTTTAAATTTTGTTTTACATTTTGTTTAAAATTTTATGTTTTAAATTTTGTTTTAAATTTTATATGGTTTCAAATTGAAACATTTTCAAATTTAAAAATTTGAATTTATTTACTAAAACAAAATTTTCTTTTTCATGTACAACGAGCAAACAATGCACTAAGTGCCGAAAAAGCAAAAATTTTCATTAAATCATTTAAAGAATCGTAAAAATCTTTTTTCGATATTTTTTTTATATAAAGACGTGCGCATTACAATTTCGCACATTATACAAAAAAAAAAAAAAAATTTTCTCAACAACGAGGATCAAACAGGGTACAAATTACGTGACTGTTTTTTTTTCTTCTATTCGTATTCTCTCTATATATATATACATAATGATACAACATTACTTAAAAAACTTAATAACTAAAACTTTTTTTCATTTAAAATATTTAATTACCAGCTTTTATATATAAAAAATTCTGATAATATAATTTAAATTTACAAATAAAAAAAAAATGAACTTTTTTACACGGTTATAATTTTTGCATTTTGAAAAAAAAAGAAAAAAAAATGAGAGAGAGAGAGTGAGAGAGAGAGAATCGCTTATTTTTTCATTTACTGACGAATCTCAACAAGAGCGTAAGGTATTTATATAGAAAATCATTGTTAGATGTTCCGAGAGAATATATTTATGGGCATGTTTCGACTAGATGCTTTCTGGAAACCCAGTTTTTTGCTTTTTTGGTGGTTTTTTGTGACAATTGGCATTTTTTTCAAAATTCCCCCCCACAAAACTCAACGCGTAACTTAATTTTTTCTAGGATTAAAAAATTTAAAAAAAAATAAAAATCGTTATAGAGTAGAAATATATTTTTTTTTAAACTAATCTCTCACGAAATTTATTGTCCAATTTTTTATTATTATGATTTTTATTATTATTACTATTATAAATAATAAGTTTATTTTTTTTTTATTGGTCCATAGCCCATTTTTATTTCTCATTCGCAGAATCTTGCATACGTAATTTTATGAGATATATATAATATAGATAAGAGTCGATCGGAATGCCAGAGAACTGATTTTTTGGGCATGTTTCGTCAGTTGCTTTTTTCATGTTCTTGGAGAGCGTAGTTACCTTTTTTGTTTTTTTTTCTACTAGTGCTGTTCGTTAAATAAAATGAAAGAATATATATATTTTTTTTCTATTTTCTTTACAAAAATAGTCGGAACTTTCTAGAAAGAATGTAGATGCATATTAATATAGATAGAGAAATTAATAACGACTTTGAAAAAATATCAAAAGCAACCAAAACGTGATTAATCGTAGACGCAAAAAAAAAAAAACGCTGTTTTTACCCAATTGGCTTTTTTCTAAAATGCGATTCACGAAATAAAAAAAAAAATTTCAACCGTTTTTCTTTTTTTATAAAGTACGAAAAAAGTACGAAAGCTTCTTTTGAATAATTGTTTTCAGATTTTGTGTTTCAAATTTTAAAAATGTTACATTTTTTTAAAATGAATTTTTTTTTTTTTAAAGGAATTGAAGAAAATATTTTTACGCAATAAAAATAAAATTTTTGCCAAAGTCAGTATGTAAACGAAAATAAAAAATAATAATCTTGTTCAAATGAAATAAAATTGGATGCTATTCGACACGCACAACACTATATATTTTCCACCGCGCACAACTGAATTTTTTTTTTTTTTTTTTTTTTTCAAATCTATATATCAAAGAATCACTGAAAAATAAAACCCAAGTGGAATTTACTTAGGGCAAAATAACAATTAACGTGACAGATATTATATTTATAATAATAAAAGTGACAGATATTATTCTAAAATTAATATATCAAATAGAGAAAAACGTTATATAAAAAAGGGCGAATATTGAAAATTTCTTCTTTTGTTTTTTTTTTATTATATGACAACTGGATATTTATTTTATAATTTTTTTTTTTATTTGCGTGGAGATATTCAATTTCAGAGGAAGCTATTTTTATTTAAAAAAAATCATGAATATGAAAAGTTCCACGTGGGTTCGGGAGAGCATATAAAAAAAGTTTTTTAATCTCCACTTTGTCTTCTTCAAGCCTTGATATTCTCCGGCAATAAGGCGGGGGTTCTTGTTTTCACGCAAAATTGCTTTGAGCTATCATATTTAATCATTATATAGACGTATAAACACTAATACACGCACACTTTTGCATTTTATTCAGGATACATTCACGCTTAAGCGACTAATAACAATAAAAAAAAAAAAAAAAAGAAAAAACCGACTCGTCTGCTAAACTCGCTGAATATAAAAAGAAAAAATTTATTGTAACAAATACTCTTGTCTTGCATTTCTATGAATCCTTTTTTTTTAAAATTATTTATTTACTTTGTAGAACTTTAATTAAATAATTAAAAATTAAAAAAGAATTATATTAAATTTAAAGGATTAAAAATTTAATTAAAAAGAATTTAAATTACAAAAAGATTAATATTATTGATATAAATTTTTGTTTAAAAAAGTAATTATTTACTTTAATTGAAGGAAAATTGATCTTTTCTTTATTAATAGATAAATAATATTTAACCGATGATATAGCTCAGGCGGTGAAGTGCCTTGGCTTGCGATCACTGAAGTTAAGCACATCTGAGTACGGCTAGTACTTTGATGGGTGACTGCTTTGGTACGCGCTATAGCTCTGGTGTTTTTCATTGCGATTGAGATATTATTAAGCGGGTAAATAAATAAAATAATAAAAATAAAATATAATAATTTAAAAACAAAACAAAAAATAGTAAATCATAAGAAAACGTAAATAAAAATAGTAATAAAAATAAGAAACAATAAAAAAATCAAAAATACTAAAAATAGTAAATAGGTAATAAAAAGTAAATAAAAAAATTTAATAAAAAATAAAAATTGTAAATAATAAAAACAATAAATAATAAAGTAAATAAAAATATGAATTAAAAAAATAAATAGTAAATAATAAAAACAATAAAAAATAGTAAATAATAAAAAGTAAACAATAAAAAATAGTAAATAATAAAAACAATAAATAATAAAGTAAATAAAAATAGTAATTAAAAAAATAAATAGTAAATAATAAAAAAGTAAATGTCAACTGTCAACGCAAATAAATAAATAATGAAAAATAGTAAATAATAAAAACAATAAATAATAAAAAATAGTAAATAATAAAAACAATAAATAAAAACATTTAAAAAAAATAAAAATTGTAAATAATAAAAACAATAAATAAAAAAATTTAAAAAAAAATAAAAATGGTAAATAATAAAAATAATAAATAATAAAGTAAATAAAAAAAAACAACAAAATAATAAAAATAGTAGAGAATAGAAATAAAAAAAGTAAATAAAATAAAAAAAAAGTGTTCTGTAAGTAAATATAAAATACAACTGAAAAATGTAACAACGAATTTCTAAAATGGATTATTTGAATGAAACTGCAATTTGTACTCTAATACGATGAAAGCGCAGGTCATTCGCAACTATTCACGAGTGCATCAACGCGAAACTGAAATACCTAAACAGTTCTCTCTCCTCAACAAAGGGACATGAAATGCAATACAGAGTGCACATTCCGAGGATAACACATGATTAATTACAGCATATACACAAACACTCCTTGGTAAAGGGTAAACATGTAAATTCGTGTCGTGTAAATTTCGTGATACAAGGAAACTCGGGTGCCAACATCTAACGATTGATATGTTCAGCCGTAGATATGCAGACGAGTTTTAATATATATACACACACATATATATATATATTGTAATTGTACACAAAGAGAAACAATACTAACACTCTCGATATAAACAAAGGGCCTCTGATAATATAATAACATATATATATATAAATATAAAAAAAAATATTTATATCTATATATATATACCAACAATGCAAGTGAATAAATAATAGCGGACGCGTGGCCAGTAGCTATAGACAAGTACTTTAATGCCTTATTACACATAGGAACTAGTGAAAAAAAAATACCAACAAATATTAGGTATAGATTCATAAAAAAAAAAAATAGTGATACGAGACTAAATTTTGAGAAAAAGTAGAGAAGCAAAAACAAAAAAAAAAAGGAAAGCCTATTGACGTTCTGAAACGGAAATAAAGAAAAGACGGCGAAGACGTGAAAGTGGCGCGTTGGGTAAACTCACAAATTATCCGTAAATATATTTAGATGTGTTTTTCTTAGAAGGTTTTTTGACCATTTTTTTCAACACGTATCGCATGCGACCTTTCGTTCAGAGTCGTTCTATTGTCATTGATTCATTATTTCTTTTTTTTTAAAAAAAAAACCAAAAAATTGAATTATTAATAAAAATATGCAACGTATGTGTGCGCTTTTACATGCGTATTCGCGCACTCATACGTGTTGCAATTTTTTTTTTTTATTTTGTCTTTTTTTTTAAATCATAAAAAAATCTCAATTTCAGTTATTTTTTGTCCTTTTTTTTTCTTCGATAAACTATTAAATATTTTTGGAATACTATAATTACTTTTCAAATGTAAAAAAAAAATTTTACAACTATTTACAAGTATTTGATTAGAATTTTTGTTTACTTTGCTAAAAAAAAAGACTATAAAAATTATTTACAAACTCAAAAAATGGAAAAAAAATTGTTGACCACAAAAAACGCTTCAAGTATTTTAAATATTGTTCAAATACTTACAGTTTAAAATAATTTACTTAATTTTTTTTAACTGTTAATTCACTATTGCTCTAAAAAATATTTAATGCAATTTAAAATCATTTTTGCTGTTAAAAATTTAAATATTTTTTTAATTAAAAAAATTACATTTACCAACGTAGTGGAAAGTTTACACGAAATTAAAATTTTACTACAAACATTAATAAAAAAAAAAAAAATTGTTCCAAGAATATTTAAATATAAAATTACTGAAATTGTTTTCTTTTTTGAGAGACTGAAAGAAAAATAATTTTTTTTTTTGTCATATACAAAAAACATTATATATTCATTACACAAAAAATCTAACAAAAAAAAAAAAAAAAAAAAAAAAAAATTAGGAAAGTTTCCGTTCTCATTTCTGTTTCCGTTTCGTATTGTCTCGCTTGCACGCTTTTTCAATTTTCTCTACCCTTTTTTTTCTAATCGATTTTTCTGTGTGTGTGTGTCAACAGCTCTGGCATTATCAATAATCCAGTGGTTTTTTACCGCTTAATGCCGGGATCAACAGCGCAAACCAACAAGTTGCACACATTTTATCTTCAACAACGATCGGATAACTCGGTCACTTGGGCTGACATAAAGGTCAATCAGCCTTTGGACTATGAGAGTATAAAAGAATATAATCTCACCATACGTGTCGAGGTATGAGAAACTTATTTTATCATCATCACTTAACACAATCATTTTTATCTCACATTTTTTTTTTTTTTTTTTTTTATTTAAAAATAAAATTCTATTTTAATATTGAAATTTTTTTATTCAATTGAATTTATTTAAATTTCAACAGACCAAAAGCGCTTTAGTACAAAAATACTAAAAGAAATTATAATCGTTTTTTTTTCGAAATTTTTTTTTATTTGTTTATTGAAATAAATCTAACAGCCAGTAATTTCAAAAATTAAGAGCATTTTTTTTGTTTTTTCTCTATTGTCATTAAACTGAATGATTTTAGTCCATCGGGGAAGCTAAATAGTCGGAATAAATTAAATTGTAAAGTACTTAATACCCTTTTTGTTTCATATTTATGAACCTTTCAAATCGAGCAGCTTATAAAGTTATTAAAACTAATTTCAGTCTGTTGAATATTTTATTCGTCTAGAAAAGGAGATTAAATATTTTTAATGTAACAATTTAAAAAAAAAATCAAATTAGTATAGTTTTTTTAGTGCGTGAGACAAATTTTTCGAAAATTGGTAAAAGTTGAAATGAAAGTGGTTTTGCATATATATTATGAAAAAAAAATTTCCTTTTTTTTTTAAGAATAATGGAGCTCAACAGCTGGCTTCTGAGGCAACTGTCTACATTATGCTCGAGGATGTCAATGACGAGATTCCTCTTTTTACTGAACGCGAACAGGAAACGGTTTTGGAAGGTGAACCAATTGGCACAAAAGTTACTCAAGTCAATGCTATTGACAAGGATGGCACTTTCCCCAACAATCAGGTATTTTATTTTTATTTACCAAATAAAAAAAAATTAACTTATTCTCATTTAATTTATATTATAATTTATAAAAAAAAAATTTTAATTTATTTTATAATTTTTTTATTATAATTATTTTTATAATTTACTATATATTTTAATATTTATTTATTTATCTATTTATATTTATGAAAAAAATATTTATTATAACTTGATATAATTTAAAATTAAAAAAATTTTTTTTTGTTATTTACCTCTAAAGAAAAAAATTCATCGTATTTTTTTTTACTCTCCAACGACAAAAGTATTTTAAAGTGATTAATAGAGATTTCTATAATATTTTCGACTAAAAAATATGTTGTCAAATATTATTCGTGTCATTTATAATGGAGAGATAAAAGATCGAAAAAAAGAAGAAAAAAAAAATGTATAATATAATTCTATTCCGACGATTGCTATATAAATTTTATGAAAAGCACTTTCTGTGATAAAGCTTTTAATTTTTATCGATAATTCATCATTTTAAATAATATCAGGAATCGTTTCACGAGTTGGACAGTAAAGTATATATCGTGCATAATCCCTATTCAACGTTCACATTATTATGCGGAAAACTGTAGTAATTTTATCGAAAAACGATAAAATTCATTGCAAAATTTTCTTTTCATACGATGATGGTTCCACAAGAGTTGTATTAAACATACAAATGAGTTAGAGCATTTTAATTTTTATGAAAATATTTTCACATTCAAAAATATGTATATAAAAATTAGCTTTTTTTAAAAAATATTTTTATTATTCAATTTTCTCCCCTTTTTTTATTTTCGTTATCAATATATATTTTTATTTTAATAAGTTAATAAAAATAAAATAATTAAAAAATACTTTCTCTAATTTATATTATATTTTGTCGTCTTTTCATTAAATTTTTTTTTCTCTCATTGTTTGTAATTATTTTTTAATTTTATTTTTAATATTATCAAAAATTCTCTGAACAGTAAATCTCGGTTTTTTTTTTAAAACAAAAATTAATTTCGATAAATTCTTTGACAAATGTGATTTTTCTTTCTAGGTCACTTATTATGTCGTGGACAGTGACAGAAATGAGGGAAAAGATTATTTTGAGATCAACCGAGAATCGGGTGAAGTGTTTACTAAAGTCGTGTTCGATCGTGAAAAGCAAGGAGCTTATGCTTTGGAAGTTGAAGCAAGGGATGGGGCAGCATCAGCAAGACCAAACAGCAATGGCCAACCAAACTCGGGTATGTACTTTTATCAAACTTTTTTTTTTTTTTTTTTTTTTTTTTCTTCTTCCTCGTCAATCTTTCATATATATTTTTCCAAATCTGTTCACCAGGCACGAAATCTATTTTCTCTTTTTTATCCCTGCATTTATTATTAAATTCAATCGTGAGGACACGAAAGAAAAATAATAAAAAAAAAAAAAACAAATTCCCTGAGAAAGCAATACGAGAAAGTATTCGCTTCAGTAGAAGATGTCGTTTTTGGTCAGACATGAAATGCCACTCGACAAATCAAATTGCAATTTTCCAGTTGAAATCATTTTAAATATCCTTTTAGACTTTTTTTTCGAGTTTTTTTATTTTTTTCATGGGAATTTTTTTTTTCGCAGAGAATAACGAAATTTTGTTTGTGAACTATATTTTAAAAAATCGATTTTATACGCGCGGATGGGAAAAAAGAAAAATTGAATGTTTGGTAACAAGTGTTGGGATTTTCCTTTTTTTTTTTTAAATGAAAGACAATTTTTCATATGTGAAGATTAATGGTGGCAAAAATTCGAGCACAGATCCTTTTTGCAGACACGAAAATTAATATCTAATTTTTTAATTAATATAATTTTTAAAAAAATATATTGCGGTATTTTTCCATTTTATTGGAATAAAAAAATATTTGTTAGTAGAAACGTTAGTTTACAGTCAGCCAGAAGGAAAAAGTTTATACTCAGACATGCGTACTCGTTAAATATTTTATACTTGTTTGTAGAAAATCCCGTTAATTATTTCAGTAGTAAAAATCTGTTTGGTCAGACTGGAAAGGAAAAATTTTTAATTTAACTATTTTCAGTAGAAAAAACCTTCTATGTCAGACAGAATTTTTTAAATTAACTATTTTCAGTAGAAAAAATCTTTTTGGTCAGACAAAACAAATTATTTATATTAAAAAATTTTCAGTAGAAAAAACCTGTTTAGTCAGACAGAAGAAGGGATTTTTGTTACAAGTTTAAGTAGTAAAAACCTGTTTAGTCAGACAGAAGTGATTTTTTTTTACAAATTTAAGTAGAAAAAATCTGTTTGGTCAGACAGGAAAGAAAAATTTTTTAATTTAACTATTTTCAGTAGAAAAAACCTTCTATGTCAGACAGAATTTTTTAAATTAACTATTTTCAGTAGAAAAAACCTTTTTGGTCAGACAAAATAAATTTTTTATATTTAAAAATTTTCAGTAAAAAAAACCTGTTTAGTCAGACAGAAGAAGGGATTTTTGTTACAAATTTAAGTAGTAAAAACCTGTTTAGTCAGACAGAAGTGATTTTTTTTACAAATTTAAGTAGTAAAATTCTTTTTGTCCAGACAAAAAGAATTTTTTACAAAACATTTTCAGTAGAAAAAACCTTCTATGTCAGACAGAATTTTTTAAATTAACTATTTTCAGTAGAAAAAACCTTTTTGGTCAGACAAAATAAATTTTTTATATTACAAAATTTTCAGTAAAAAAAACCTGTTTAGTCAGACAGAAGAAGGAATTTTTGTTACAAGCTTAAGTAGTAAAAACCTGTTTAGTCAGACAGAAGTGATTTTTTACAAATTTAAGTAGTAAAAGCCTTTTTGGTCAGACAAAAAGAATTCTTTAAAAAACATTTTCAGTAGAAAAAACCTTCTATGTCAGACATAATTTTTTTAATTAACTATTTTCAGTAGAAAAAACCTTTTTGGTTAGACAAAATAAATTTTTTATATTAAAAAATTTTCAGTAGAAAAAACCTGTTTAGTCAGACAGCAGAAGGGATTTTTGTTACAAGTTTAAGTAGTAAAAACCTGTTTAGTCAGACAGAAGTGATTTTTTTTACAAATTTAAGTAGTAAAAACCTGTTTAGTCAGACAGAAGTAATTTTTTACAAATTTAAGTAGTAAAAGCCTTTTTGGGCAGACAAAATTATTCTAAAAAAAAAATTAATTTAAAATAAATATCTTTAAAGAACGGATTTAAAGTCAAACATAAAACTAAAAAAAATACCTTCAATTACAAAATTTATATTCCGTGAAAATACAATTTTTCATATTTTTACATCGCAGAAAAGAATTAAAAAAAAACAGAATAAAAACGTGGCTTTTCAGTAGTGACAGCAAGTTTATGGTCAGCCATAAATCCATAGAAATTTTCACTCATCTCGGAGAGTAAAGTTTTCTACACGCGGATAGCAAAAAAAAAAGAAAAAAAATTTTTATACCAATTTTCCAATGGATTTACGACTTTATTCCATTAAATAGTCTAAAATTCAAATCGACTAATTGAGTAAGTGCGACTAACTTTTCTTTAAGCAGAGAAGTTTTTCTACATACTCAAAAAAAAAAAAAAAAAAAAAAAAATTAAAAAGAAAGTCCTCTCACGAGCCTTGGCTCTTTGCTATATATTGATTAAAGGACATTTTTTGCTCGACATGCAATAAACTAAAAATGCTTTTAATGGAAACCTATTTTCAGAAGAACGATGCGGTGTGCTCAATATGTTTCTATATAGTTTCAATATCGTGGGATTTAATATTCATGAAAAGGAGGCACAATACTTTCGCAAAGAATTTTCCCTTTAAGAAATATAATTGAAATAGTTAAAATTGTACGCGGATAAAAAAGAAAAAGACAATTTATTATTATATATTTTTTCTCATTCCAAAGTATTGGAAAAACAATACTTGACTGAATAAGACTTCTTTATAAATTCTCATTGTGAGAAAAATATTTACATTCTTCATTTAATTGAAAATAAAATTTATTTAAAAATAAATTTTTATTTACCCCTTTTGAGACAAGTGTATTATTTTTTCTCTTTTACATTTTTCGATAAAGTAAATTTTATATATATATATAAATACCTGTATAATTAAATTGTCACTCAATGTTGGATACATTTAACTTTTTTATATTTTATACCCGAGAGATTTATTTACATATAAATTCTTCGCTCTTTTTTCTTTTAATTAATTCTTGTTTCATTTTTATTTTTTTACATTCTGACATTTTTCCCATTCACTTTTACGGCACTTTTCAATGGATCGTATTAAAATAACAATCCTCTCTATTCTTCTCTTCACTTTCAATACAAAAACTTTTTTTTTCAATCATTTAAAAAGTTTCTTTCAAATCACTTTTTTCATTTATTTCAAAAAAGTTTTTTTTTTTTCAAACTAAAACTTTTTCTCAACTATATTTTTTGGTATAAACATTTTTCAAATAACTTTTTTTTTTCATTTGACTAAACTTTTTTTTTTTAATTGTCAATTTATTTTTTTCAATTATTCAGTTAATGCATTTTTTCAATGTTTATTTTTTATCAAACTTGTGAGTTAATTGCTTTAATTGCGGGTTGCAAAGTACTAAAAAAAAAATAAAAGACGATTTTTATATTTTCCGAGTATTGGAAATTTTTTAATTAATTTATTTTTCCGATTTCTGTTTTATTGTTTTTACATACAATTTACTTGAACCAAATAAAATATATTTGAGTTAAATAAATGTACATTTGGCGTAAATAAAAATTTTATTTGTCATAAATAAATTTTTGTCTCAAATAAATTTTTTTTGTCTCAAATAAATTTTTTATTTAAAATCAAAAAAAATATATTTTGCAACAAATAAATGAAGTTAGTAGGCTTGGAGAAAAATATATACGTAAAAAAAAGGTTTACCTGAAACAGCGAAACGATTCACTGTAGTAGCAAAAGTTTTACTTGTTTCAGTTAAATCTTTCGCTGTTTTAGGTAAAAAAAAAATTTTTCCATGTACCATTTCTTTAAGTGTAATTAATTAGTAATTTGTAATTATTATTAAGTTACGAGAAATTGATTCAATAGTTTTCTAATCGATTTTCATTATCTGCAAATAAGAATTTTGCCTTCTATTTGATGAGAAGAAGATTTTTATGGGGAGGGGGGGAATAAAAAAAGAAACATTGGTGAGAGTTCATCATTGCTTCTCTCATTTAGCTTAAAACCAATTAGAGGCGCTGACTTTTCAGCTTTCTCTTATATTTTCTATCTTTCCCATCATTTCTATTTTATTTCTATATACTGCGTTTCCAATTTTACAATATCAGTTCTCCTCTAGAAAATTGAAGCTGCATCGCGAAATATCGATTCTCACTGCGCGATTCCGGTTATATTTCATTCGAGAGCGGAAATGTGTGATGAATTCGAATGTGTACAAAGTGCACTGGCTTATATATATATATATATATATATTTATCCACAAAATATAGTAACATGTGAAAGTTGGTCAATAATTCTGAGAAAATTGAGTGGGATACTCGAAATATAATTCCCGGGGATTGAAGATCAAAAATATAATTCTTTTACGATGAAAAATAAATAGTATAAAAATAGTGTAATATGAAAAATATAAAAATAGAAATATGAAAAATATTATAAAAATAGAAATATAAAATAAATATTATGAAAATAGAAATATATAAAGTAAATATTGTAAAAATAGAAATATGGAAAAAAATAGTACAAAAATAGAAATATGGAAAAATAGTACAAATATAAATTTTACAATTTTTACCATTTATTTTATTCAATTAAAAATTATTTGGCTCAATTAAATATTTATTTGATAATAGTAAAGTAAATGGAATTATTTGAATGAAATAAATTATTTTAGTGTAGTATAAAAACAGAAATATTAAAAAATAAATAGAATGAAAATAGAAACAAACAAACAAAAAATACAAAAATAGAAATATGAAAAAAGTAGTATAACTGCGGGAAAGTTATAAATAAATAAATAAAAATAGAAATATGAAAATATTAATATAAAAATAGAAATAAAAAAATAGTATAAAAATAGTATAAAAATAAAAAAAAATAAAAATAGAAATAGAAAAACAGTATAAAAATAGAAAAATAAGAAATACAGTAAAAATATCAATTATAAATAATATAAAAAAAGGGATATAAAAGAAAACGACTATTGTCGATTATATTGCTGACTGGCCTGTAAAAAGGCGCAAGAAAAAAAAAAGA